TGGTCATCATAGTGAATTGTAAAGGTAATGATAATGACACACAAAATGCTACCGGTTACTCTGGGCAGAATTTCTATTAGCATCCAGTACTGACTTAGCTCTACTTCCACATGAATGACGATGGCCCCAGCCCTCTGCCCTCCTTCTCCCAGTGTCGCAAGGGTATGGAGATCTCCCTGGGACTTTGAAACCTTATCTTAACCATAGTTTAGGATTTTATGCCGAGGAGATGTTACTCAGTAGGAATTCAGTGCATATCACATCTATAGCCTTGTTATTTTATACTCTTCTAGAAAATGGAGGCTAAAAGGGTTCAAAGGCTTCTACATTACGTTTTGAATAGCCCAGCACCTTTGTTCTAAAAATAAATAATGACTTAAAAATAAATAATTAAATGGGGTCAAACTGGCAGCTTATATTGCTCTTGAGGATATTCGCATATGATCAGCTGTTGAAAGAGTTGCAGTTCAGCTGTGCCGAGCTAAGATTTAGTGACAGGGGCACCCAGGGATCAGACTCAAAGGCAGAACCTTAAGTCTTTTCCTTAGTGAACAAGAAATGGATATGGAGACATCAGACTAGGTGACACGCAGAGATAATACACAATACCAAAAGTCTTGAATGCTTTCCAGCAGGGTGGAAGACTGGTATGGCCAATCTTTAGGCCAAGATCCAATGAAGAACATTAAGAACAATTGTAAGTTCATTCTTACTTGGCAAAGCGCACCAGTTTATGCTTATCTTTAACCTGTGATTATTGAAGATAATAAAATTTATGTGTGCACTTAAAATTAAGCAAGATCTTTATTGTTTTGTTGAAAGGAATTCGTAGTGTGCTGGGGAGAAAGTAGCCTGGCCTGCCATGGCCAGGGGAGGCTGTTTTTATATAAGGCTGCATGACAAGGTAAAAAACAGGGAAAACTTTTTGAAGAAGATTTCCTCATCCTCACTTCCCACTCCATATCCTCCCACCTTCCTAAATTACCCTTTTTTACATCTCAATTGATGGAAAGACAAAGAAACCACTGTAACTGAGTAGAGCTGCAGAGTGCAGCAAAAATTGCAAGGGCCAAGACCGATAAAAGCAAGTCTGGTCCAGCTTGAATATATGAGGCAAAATAAGCAGAAGAAAGCTAAAAATGTACGTTGACAATGAAGGACAAAGAGTATTATAAGCATCATTGCCGCAGTCTGTTAAAGCATTTGCAGCAGACAAAAGATACAAGAAGAATTGGCAAGTAGAATTAATGGAAGAGAAAGGATAAAAAAATAGCAAACTTATTAAATTATTTTTTTCATAATTATTTTAAACAGTGGAACACATGCTCTAGTATTCTGAGGGTTAGGCACTTGTACACATCTTTCTCATTGTTTTGAATGAAGCTCAAGCATATGATTAAAAGTCTTTCCTAAATAAGAGTATTTTTCTGAAATCAGGCTGAAGACAGGAATGAAGAGCTCCTTGAACAGGAATCACATTTCCAGACATAGGTCCAGGTTCAACCATGTGTATGTGTGATGCTATATTTGAAAATAGTGCATGCACGTATCGCAGAGGGAGTACTTAATGTGCTTGAAGTTGGCAGCATGCTTGAGCACCCTGTTAGATTGTGGTGAGAGAGAGGAGGTAAAAGCTGTAAAGGAGAAAGAAAATACTTGTGAAAGGTTTAGGCATTTTTCCAGATTGCTGGTACACTGTAGTGTGCTTACTATTAATGCTGTAACTTGTTATGTAGACCGTTCAGAGTAGAATTCTGCTCACATATCTGACATGACTCTGAAATTCAGACTTTGCCATTTCCAGGTCCAGGTAACATTGAAAAAAGAATAACTGGTTTAAATGACAAGGAATAGTATTATTTTTGTTTATTTTTCTGAGAGAAGGGAGTTAAGGGATAGACGGATACTTTGACAGCAGGTAAAAAGCCCTGCACTCCAGGTTTTTAGGGAACTAAAACCTAAGCTTTAGGGAAAAAAGGCTTAATTTTAAAAAATAACTCATTACCAACTGATTCATGGTTTTTAAGAAATATAGTGAGAATATGTTTGGGTTTAGTAAATTAACATTTTGAAAGGAATAACTATTTTGGAGACAGAAAATATTAAGTTATGGAGGTCTTGCTGTAAGGATTAAATGCAATACTTTGACTATTGCCATGGTCCTATAAAGAATAATGAGACATTGAGGAAAAAATTAGAAGTATTCATTAGAAAGTTTGATTTGATTCCTAAGTTAACCTTACTTGAAATTGAAGAAGCTCAGCTATATTTTCTACCTCTCTCTTTCCTTGTATTTCTGTAAAGTCAATATCTGCAGAACCTCTTAGACACTATACAGTTCCAGCTTTTAAATTATTTTTAATTTTCATTTGTGAATATCATTATTCACTCAGTCTAGATATATGACAAATCTCAAATAAACAAGGTGCTCATGACTCTCTTGGTCTTACACTGCCATTTGGACGGTGTTCAAATTTAGCTGAATATTAAAACCTTAGGAGGATTATCCAAATGATATCTGTAGATCAGTGGTTTTCAACCTGTAGTCTGCCATCTGGGAATCTCTGGATTATTCCT